TTTATGCTTAACTGGGGACCAAGTACTTCTTTCCTCTGTAGCGGTCTCTCCTGTTCTGGGAACATGTGAAATATGTATCTTAGGGTCCTGTTGTACCTCATTTCAGTTTTTTTTTCTTTGTAAACCAAGTGTTGTGTGTGTGTGTATACATACCTGTCTCTGTGCTTTATAAGAACTGTCAGAAATCTTAAGCCACATGTAAGAAGTGATGCTCAGATAGATGTTCTAATTCTGCTTCCTGGTGGCATTAACGACATTGACAGAGTTTTTACCTTTGGACAATGTGCTACCATGGTACACGATACTAGGGATATGTAAAACACAGAAAAGGTTTTTATTTACAGGGAAGGCTGTCAGTGCATAACATTATATCTGGGACTTCAAAACTATAGCATTTACCTTAGCACAGCCAAGACCCTGCTCTTTGCCCATCTACAGACCCATGAATGTGGTGTTGCCTTTTTTTCCATTCATCCTTATACAAATCTGCTTTCTTTAGCCTCTCCAGACTCCTGGCCCTGGCTTTATGGCCTTCATTAATTGTCTCCTTTTTCCTCTAGTTACTGTTTCATAGGATTCCCCTCCTAAAAGCTTTCCTATCTGATCCAACCCAGCTGTGTAGAAGTCAAGAACAGACAGGTTTCTGTTCCTTTTACAGTGTATCTTTTCTGTAAGGAACGTATAATTTCCAGGAAGACTATTCACGTGCAAACACGTATTCGCACTAGTGAAGTACACCCAGAAGATCTTAATATGTTAAACTTTGAACAAGGGTAACCTCTTCCTTCACAGGTCTGTATATTGTGTTGGCATAGTGCGGTGCTGATCTGTTAGCTAATCCATAGACTCTATGGCAGGAAGAGAGAATAAATGAGAGAAGAATAGACTGTTTCTTATCTTCAGTCACAAAAGTGCACAGATGTACTTACCTGAAGATACTTTTCTCTAATGACTTCAGAATAGAAAAATAATTTGGCACTTGTAGGTTTATTTAGTTCAATTAGAGGAAGAGTAAAAACAAACTTAGGAAAAAAGGTTGAAAACATAAAAATGCCAATGAAGCTGTTAAATGTCAACATTCTTACATTTTCTTTCAAAATTTTAACTTCAAGTGTTTGGAATTTTGGTATACAGTATGTTAAAGGTTAAAGAAAGTGAGCTTTACTGTAGGGAGCAAGTTTAAACTTAATTGTGGACTAGTAATAACCACCTCATGTATATTTTTCTGAAACTTGCATGTGGCATCAGACGTGCTGGCAACTAGGACCTGGGTTCAGGATTTATGCTGCATGCTCTTAGCTTGATGTACAGGACTAACGACATTTCCTGTCCAAAAGTCCCAACTGTATATTTCAGTGTCATTCAGTGTTTAGTTGAAATGTCTGTCTTGTGGTATATGGTACCTTGTATTAAGACAAACAAACTGAATTAGAAGGGGGAGAAAAAAATGAAACACCAAAGTTGGAAAATATTAACTAGATTTCAAACTTGTTGGGCGTTCTGCTTTTGTAGTCTATGGTGTGCAAAAAGACTGAATGCTTCTAAAACCTGTGCACTGATAAACCATTTTTGATCTACTGATTAACTTTAAAAAGTCTCTTTACCTTGCGAATATGCCTTGTTCACTCAAGAACACATTGGAAAAATGAAAGTTCGTGTTAAAATGGTAACTGTTTTAAAGCAATGCAAGCATGGCGCTTTATAAGATTTGTTGCTTTTCTGTCCTTCTAGATGGAAGAAGATAAGGGTTCAGTCAGCTCAGCAGGTGACTTTGCTGAAAGCAGGCACAGAGGGGAGGACAATAGGCAACTGCTAGACCCATCTAGCCTACCCGACAGTTCTTACGTTCACTAGGTAGTACACCCACTCTACCCTAATGTGTGTGTGTATATAGACTTTTATATATATCATATATAGGCAGTCACGGCACCATCTCCAAATTACCCATATTTTTGATATCTACAAGAATCATAGTATGTGGGTTTGATTTTTTTTCCTTACCAAACTGAATCATTCTTTAATTCTGCACTTTAGTTGCTTTTTGATTTATTACATGAAGTGGGCCATTATCATACGAAGTATTATATTTATTGTGATCCTGGATCTTACCTTATGAAAAGACTTTATTAATATTTGGGCTGAAAATAATATCAGATGTTTCTCTTTACTTATTAATGATTTTTTAAAGCATCGTCTCTCCTGCCTTCTGTTTCCTGAGGGTTTGTTTCAGGTCTCCAGAGACCATTGTGCTCTACTGCCTTACTGTGCCAGGTTTTACTTTGATGTAAAACTATGATCATGATTGTTCACCACAGAGGGAAAAGTGAGAAAAGGGACTCTTTAGTATAATATAAATATCTTCTTTCCAGGTAGTGAATATAAATATAAAAATCCATGTTCACCAGGCAGAGTTACACAATAATATCTACACATGAAGTTGAATGTATTTTTATGTTGTCCTTAATGCTCTCCCGGTATTATTCTACACTTAACTGTGACTTTGATAAAACATAAATGTTATTTCCAGGCTTACATAAGGTCACATTTGCTGTTTTCTAAAAAAGAGTAATGTTAACTTTTCCATGAATTGTGGTTCAAGCATGATCCTAGTTTTTTCTGAGTGTCTAACTTAAGAAGAACAAAAGAGCTTCTAGTGAAGAAGAAACACCATCCCTCCAAAATCCAGAGCTGTTAGTTCACTCCTAGGAAGCTAGTTTGAGGTGACTCTTGGTTCCTTTTTCTGCCTTCTTTGAATAATATCTAGACTGTTAGTTCTCAGCCAATTCTAAGCGAAGAAAATATCTGGTCCATCTGCTCCTACCTACAAGCACTGTAATATGGCCTTTTATAGTAACTTTAAAGGTATTACTTGATCTCCCTCGGGATAATGGATGAACTGAATACTCTTTTTGAAATCCTAGGTGTGGAAATGTTGAGAGGTTTTTTTTGTATTTCTGTAAACACAACTGTGAAGATCACTGCATGTGCAGCAGGGAGCTTGCTTTCTGACTTCCTGTTAGGGAGTTCCTTCTGCTCTCTGTATTTTTTCTGATTCACTGTGAGCTCAGTATGAAGTGGCTGTGAAGGTCATATTTGCCAGTATTGCAGTGCTGCAAATTGTGCTGTTCCTAATTATGGTATCTTCTGTGACAGTACAATTGTGACCGAATATGATGGTCATCAAATAAGGGTGTTCAAGAACTCAAACTCTGTTGAGTTGTGTTGTGGTTTGATTTGATTTAACCAAAACCCTTTTTAGACCTGTCAGTTACCATGCTTATGCTCCTGTGTCTCAGGTATTGACCAAAGTTGATTGTCGTAGTCAATGTTCATTTTGTGTCCAGAAGAACTCCCAGTGGGTGTGAGTTAGAAATGTGTGCTCTGCCCTCACTCATGGCCTCCGAGGTGCAGCAACCAAATCAAGGCATTCAGTTTGTAAAGCTTTCTGTAAGTTCATACAGCTGATTGTCAGCTGACAATCCTGTAAGCGTCACATGAAGCAGCGTGACAAGAAGATTTGGAAGGGGCATGGGGAATGTGGAACAGAGCTGAGGAAAGGACAGGCATAGGAGAAGATGCATGGAAATGCCAGTTCTGCCTGAGTGCTCCCTCCTTGCCCTACCATTGGGATTTTTCTCTTGGATTTCCAGATTCCTCTTGCTTCTGTTAGCTGCCTCTTCTTTGTAGTATAGGAGTTGTTCTGCTATGAAGATGTAATCTGTCCAGTTGCCTGTTTTGGGGGATTAGGAGGGAATGTGCCCACTCATAGTAAACCATTCTCATAGGAAACTGAGGTTCTTTGCTTTTCTTGTGGTGTTGGGCAAGTGTGGGTGGCATGAAAAAAATTGTGATTGGAAACCAAAGTCTTCAGACAAGAGTTAGCTACCTTTAATCACATGGTGAAAAGCTGGAGAAGGCTATTAAGTGAGCTGTGTCCTGTCATAGGCTAAGATGCCTCCTCACAGATTTCTTCATTCACTGGTGTCTGAGAATGAGATGAGGATAATGGATGCTTAAATTTAGCCTGTCTGTTCTACATTTATTTGACATAATGCTTTCATAGAGTGTCTGAGACATTCCATACTCCACATTTTTAGGTCCTTTTGGAAAGGATGCTGAAGTCAACCATGGATATTCTCTCCAGCAGCAGCAAATTTCAGTCAGACTTTAGTTATGCTGTGGTTGGCTAGTGTACAAAAATAATAGAGGGGCACACTGATAAATGGCACTTAAATCTATACATCTCTGTAGTGCTCTCATTTTGTTTGGGTGTTTTTCTCACCTAAAAGAATGAACAGTAGAAAGTTTGTTATGGTAATGTTGAATTATTCTTCATGCTGGCATGACCATGATTGAACCTTTCTGACATCAGCCTTGTTTGCATTTAGGCAAAAGATATTCACAAAATCAGGACTGCACTTTTGTTTCTTAGCAAGCCAAGGGTATCTATGGTCTAATGTGCATATCTAATGTAAATTATTATAAAAAGTTGCATTCAACATATGAATAAAAAGTACTACTTACAGTCAGGTTGCTGCATTGTAGTCTGCAGCCCTGGTCCAAAGCTTTCTTTTGATAGGTTTCCCTAAAAATAAGGCAGACTTGCAGCTTGTATAAATAGTACCTCCACTGACGTTAATCAAGGCATCACAGCTAAACTGCCTGACACTCTGCTCCTGAGAGTCATTACAGCTCTGACACAGGGAATTGCTAACCAGTGTATTTCCAACATAAAGCAGAGATGGTGCTGCATGATTCCCATGTGCTTGCCGAGGCTGCGTTCAAACCTTGGGAAGATCAAACTGTAAGGTATATAGACCTTAGGAAGGGAAATGGTAATGTTATTCACAATTCTAGTTCTATAAAATTGAAAAATACTCAACACTCTAACTTTACGAAAACCTGCTTTTCCTGAGTATTTTTCTGATAACATCACCAATGCTAGAATCTGTGAGTAATGATGATTTTTTTTTTTTTTTTCTTTTATTTCCTCCTTCCAGCTTACTGAGGCACGTTCAGGTATCAACTGCTTGGACTCCATGTGCTGCTTCTCAGATGGGGAAACAGCATGCACATCTCTTAGAAGAATGCTGGAACGACTAATGGGAAGATGTAGTCCAACCCGGGTCAACAGGTGTGGCATTTCTCTCAATAGCCTTTGCTGCAGACGATTCTCCTATAAACTGGAACCTGATGAGCCTGCAGCAATTGATGTCTAGCAAACCGGCTGCAGGTTTTGCTTATTTAAGTAGGAAATGCAACTCTTTATTGTACTTTTTTTCATCCTAAAAGATTAGTATCTTATTTCTTTTTGAGTGCTTTCTTTTGGGATGGGGAGAGGGAAGAACTGTTTTCAAAAGGTTTCCACTAAAATATTTAGTTTGGCTTACTACAAGCTCTTGTGTTGTATCTTCTGTCACTTCTCTTGATTTGTACAGTCTTCTCTTCAGAAAATCAAGCCTTGCTGCTGGTTTTGTTCTCCTTTTTACGAATTTTTTCCCCCCCTTCACAAATCAGCCGTTTGTAAAGTTAAAAGACTTCTCCCTTTCGTTCTCGATGTACAACCTCCAAATATTTACCTTGGAGCTTGCGTTACTCCTGAAGATACACAAAAGGCTCACGCTTTCCCCCTTAAATGTAACTTCATTGTTAGAAGGAGAGTCTTGAAAACTTTCAGCCGTTGATTGATACGAAGATGAAATATTTTTGTAGTATAACTTTTATAATCTATTTCTAAAATCAGAGTCATGACAGTACAGAACCTTCAGGTTCTAAGAATTTTAAACTTTTTTTTTTTTCAGTTCTAGGAGGTATATTGTCAAAATCATGTGTGTCATTCCAAAGTATGTGCTAAAGAAATCTTTTTCCTTCTCAAACCACATGTGAAACAAACCTCAGTGGGATAAAAGCACGTTAAGAGTAATGGAATACATCCAAGGAGCAATGCTGCTCTTGCAGTCAGCGTAACTGCTAGAAAAGCTCTTCCTAAATCTGCTCATGTGCCATCTCCCCGTTTCCAAATAGAGGGATAGCTAACAAACATGGAAATATTTGGGGGTAGAAATAAAAATAGTCCCTTGTACATCGTAATCTCTCAGTCCCTGAATGATATCATGGTCCTTCACTGGTCAAAAGGCAAACTTGAAAAAGTTGCACTTCACATTTTCAAGGAAATTCATTTTGTATTTCAAGAACTTTGTCTCTTTTGGTTAAAGGTTGTGATGTCATTCATTCAGTATAAAATCCTGTGTGGGTAATTTTTACTGACAAGCTCTGTCATTTCTGATTCTGCCTTTAGCTATTGGTATGTAGTCCATCTCTGTTCTGAACTCTTGTGTTGAACACAGTGTCTGTGGTTTCACAGGTTCTCTCTTCTGGCTTGCTTATGAAATTTATTCAACGTTTCTACCAATCTAGGGTATGATTATGCAAAGTGTTTCATTCCATATGAAAAATGAACTGTTATGATGAAGTACATTTTTGACTCAAACTCTTGCTGTATAGAAAGTGGGCATGATGTATAAAATAAAAATTTAATAGAATTTTTAATCTACAAGGTGACCATTTAATTGATCTAAAAATCAACATTCTGGTAGCAGTTGCTCTTAGTTTTTGGTCTTTTTTTTCCACTTTCGTGTAAAACTGTGCTTTTCAAATAAGGAACTTCTCACGCTACTTTTTCAAATTTATTTTTGCCTAATTAAGGCAAATTTTTAGTTTACTTTTGCCTTAGTATCTTGTAGTCTTATAAGGTAGGTATTCTGTGGATTATTTTCTGCAGTGCATTTACATTTTTTAAATTTCCTTCTTTTCCACTCAGTTTTTCTTTCTTTAATAACTTACAAATATTTATTGAAGATAACTCATATTTGACAGAATATTAAACATTTTTTGAAGACTGCTTTTCCTCAGCTTTCTTGTCTGGTTACCTCATGTAAGTTTGAGATGAAGTTACATTTAGCTGGCTAATTTTAGAGTTATTAGAACACTGAAGTTAGTATTATGTTTAACGAATATGCAAAACTGATGGTGCTACCCCAGGGGCTTGAAGTTCTGTAGTTTTTGCTTCTGCCTCTGGTTGAAATTAATCTTCGCGTTTCACTTAAATTTACGTACAACTAGAAAAGACTTTTGTTTAATTTCAGTCTTACTTGCCTCCTTCAATGACTTAGGTTCCTTCCTTTCAACATTGACACTCAAAACCTAGTCTAAAAGTCAAGGTACTAAGCCTTGTTTTTCCCCTACACTTTCCTGATATTAAGTGAAAGTCTGTTTATTTTTTAATGTACTAATTGCTTAAATCACATTAGACAGTTAAAAATTGTGACATGCTGAAGGTACAGTTCAGAAATCTATTTGGTGATTTAAAAATGCTTGTTTCATGAGCTTGAGCTGCTTTGTTTTTTTACCTTAAGCTCATACCTTCGGAAAATTGTGCAGTCCCAAACAGGTTGGTCTTTCAAATACTTGTGCTTTGTAAAACAGCTTCTTATTCAACTAGGAGGTAGCTGCAAATTATTTTTGTTGAATGAAGCAATGCTGATAAATCCATCGTCTGTGAGAGTGCTGTGGAGCGAAGAGGACTATTTTGAAATAATACTACTGTAATTAGCTTGTGTTGTATTCTGTGCTTGTGATATTCTGTCAAATATGATATTCTGTCAAATACAGTAACTGAACATGAAACCAAATTTTGATAGAAACTTTGAATCAAAGTTGTACAAATGCTTGGAGTAACGGGCCACAGGAATATGGTCTCTTGTACTTAATTTACTGCTTGTAAAATGTATTCAAGAAGTGTCTTTTATAGCTTCGTTTACCAGTTAGAATATGAACTGTATGGTGTGGTATCATAAAATGCATTTTTTTTGTCTGTCTGTTCCATTAAATTGTCTGTCAACTTGTCAGTCACTGCAATGTTAAGGATGAGGGATCACATACGTTTCTTGTACAGCAGGATTCATTATTGAACTCTTTGGGTCTCCCATTAGTGGTATTTGTGTCAAGGCACCACCACATGTAAAAGTTCTAAAGAAACAGCAGATTTCTGACAGAGACAAATTTGGAGGATGAGTTCCTGATGTCTTGATTTCCTCCCTTCCAACCTTCTATTTTTCAGCTTTTCACAAACAGTCCTATAAAATTGTTCAAGAGTAATATTTCTTCATAAGTAAGAGAAAGACATTGTGAGATCCCATCTGAATTGAAAGCTGTGATGTGTTAGGTCATTTTCCTGATGCCTTTAACTTCAGTTTGACAGTCAGGGATGAAATCAGTTCCTGGCTGTAGGTAAGTTTGGCCTACTTACAGCTCGAGCTGGCCTGGATGTTTAACACTAGAACACCTGTACCCTGGGTGAGCACAGTTAGCTGCATGTTCCACAAGGCTTTACTAGCATGAGCTTCAGCTCTATCAGACTGTAGCATGCACAGTGCCTCAGCCTACACACACACAACATTCTGATTTTCCTTGAGGCACAATATTAAAATGTCAGTTGTAAAACTGGCATATCAACCTCTGGTCATTTTAGCAATGAGAATATCTAGCTGAGTAAACTTTGGCAGAAGGTTAAACACTGAATTGCTAGTGACATAGCTGATATGATGAATTGCAGTCTATTTTCAAAGGTTTGAGTGAATTGCAGGTGCCTACATGAAATTAATAGATTAGTCTGTTAAAGAGTTAGGTTTGCCTAATCTCATAACACTTTTAACTTTTGCTTTCATAGACGTTTTTTTTTTCCTCACCTCTAGATTATAAATTCCCAGTCAGCCAAACTTTTCTTTTATTGTTACTTTAGATCATGGAGTTCATCGGATCCCTTCTATGCCAACGACAGAAGCATCTTGACTCTCTCCACAATGGACTCAGCCACTTGTTAACAAGGACATTTGTAAATGCCTTGTGGAAGCCATGTGGTGCTCACACACCTATAGTATGTTCTGAAGCGAGTTCAGTGCTGCATCCCTGCCCTAGAAAAGCCTAGCATGACTTCCAAATACAAACCATGGCTTGTCTTGTGGCCTAGCATAAGTCATCTGGACAGTAATCCCTTCCGGTATTTTTTTTCCTAGTTATATCCGCAAGTTGCTGATTTTTTTTTTTTTAAGGAATGCTTTTACCTCTGGAGATTTAATCCTTTTTGTTACCACATGAGCAGATTGGAATACTGCATTTGATACCTGAGGCGTCACTGTAGCACAGTGACAAAAATATTCTCCCAAATTCAGCTGATCCAATAGAACTGAATTTGCCCAATGAAACTTTAAAAAGTTAAATTTTTCATGATGACCCTTCACTTTAAGCACACATTAATTTTGAGTTCTGTCTTACAGATGCTGTCATAGCATTTTGCAAATCAATTTTGTTATTTCCGTGGACAATTCCTGTATTCTGTGAGCAATCAGTTTAGTAACTTTTGAGAGTTTAAATACAATTCAAATATTTATGCTGGTGTATGAATGGCAATATCTCAGTCATTGCTTTGAAAAACACTTAACTTTGACAAATCAGTAATTGGAAATAAGGTATATAACTGCTCACCGTTCTGTTGTACAGTTCAGAAGCCAGGCATCTGTTGTTATGCCCAGTGTGCTTTGTTACCAGTTCTTAACCCTGACATGGAAAAATGTGTAAGAATTGGTGGATTGTGCAGAAGTCTCACTAGCATAATTTTTTTTTTTTTTTAATTATTAATCCCTTTAAAGTTGGGGAACTTTTGCATGTTTTTTTCTTTTAATGTATTTATATTGGTCACGTTGTACTTTGAAGATACAATTTATGCTTAATTATCTTCATCTATCTGAAGGATCTGAGACATTGATGGCAATGTTTTGATACCTAAGTATGCCAATAAAAACGAATTGCACAGATGGAGCTTTGAATGGTACATCTTGCAGGTACACCTATTGTCCCACTAGAAACACGTCTGCACGCTTGGGGGTGGGTAGCAACATTTGTCTGTTCAGTCAGCTGGGATCACTGTTGCCTGTCTTTAGATGTGGAAAATAAAATGGAGGTGCTGCCACCAGGGACATCTGCAGAGCGTTCTTTAGGTGTGGCCTTTTTCTGGCTGGAGGCTGGTAAAAATGCTGTGCTGCTTCTGGACCTTTGGATATCCAGTTCTAAGTCTGGCTCTGACACTGAAGTCCCACCAGTAAGTAGAAGAATCTTACTGTCAGGCACTAAAAGATGTAGAACTGCATATTAAAATAATCTTTGGCTGGAATAAACTCTGAATTGTCAACTGACTGTAAATAACACTTACAAGAACTTCTTTAGTAAAGTTGTAGTTGAGCCCAGGATGTGGACACCAGCCATCTTGGCCGCTTCCACCCTGCCTGTCCCGGTTTCCACTGTTGGCTGAAGTGCTGTCTCCCAAGCAAATTACATGGCAAATATTTTATTTCATGACTGGCAGACACATCTTACCTTCCTTGTATGGTATCTCAGAAGGGCCTGGGCCACTGCCAGAGGAGCCTGTCCCTCTTGTTGACCTCTATGGTCTTCCCAAATTCTCCTGAGTTCAGTGAGCAGCAGGAGAGGGAGTTTTCAAAAGCTCTGACTTCGCTTGTATCAAATGCTTCGGATGTTCCTTGCCCACGAACAACTTTGCTGTTCATTATTTTGTTCCCAGTTTTAACCAGTACTATTCCAGTTCTCCTTGTGGAACTTTATTTTTTCATTAATGATTGGAAGCTTCACTGTAAGCTGAAGGCTGCAGATACGGATGGATTTTCGAGATCTCATCATTCAAGGCAATGCTCATGTAGTAAAAACTTGTCATTGCAACTTTGGGAAATTGTAGTGACTTGAACGTGCAGTACCTGAGCTTTTTGTCCCACTGGTATAGAGGAAGACCAGTTCACAAATTAAGAAGCTCTAATAATGACTCGCATAACAGAAGAAACAAAATCAAAATATAGCAAATTTTCCTTTTATGAAGTGCTTAAGTCAGTGTTTGTAAGTCAGTGCAGTGAAGCTTAAGTTTAAAATTTTCAGTTGTACACTAGATCCTCACATTGAGTGTCCAGATGGTTAATAATTACTGAAAATTGAGTCTTGCAGATAGTTGCAACCTGGTTCCTGTGAGGAGATGCAATAAACCGATTGTCATCTCTCCAGTCCCCAAGAAAACTTTTCTCCAGTAGTAACATAGTACACTTGGATTTCACCTACTTCTATAACTTTCTTTAAATATCATACATATAATATTCAAATATTTTTATAATAATTAGTTTCTTAGTAGTTTCTCATTCTGATAGCCTTCATGCTGCCACAGATACCTAGGAAATAATTTCTTTAAACACTCTGATCAGATATCTGCTGTTTAGCTCTATCTTTTATGTCTGAATCACAGTGTTCGACTTCTCAGAAGTACTTGTGTGTCCATGTCAACCACAGCACTCTAATCATCCATTTGGTTTGTGTGCCCGTGTAACCTCATCAGTCTGTGTGGTCAGTGTGTCGTGTATTGACATGGTTAATTTCATATAGTGAAAGCTATAGGCAGAAGCTTTGATACATGTCCCCACTCCAAGCATTTAGATTGGCTCAGCTCTGTTCATGTATGTATTTTGGCTTTTGCCACACAAATATGTTAATTATATTTGCACAAAAGAAGCACAGACTTATATTTGAAGAATAATTTCCATTCCTTATGTGTTTCTTTAAAACCTTCCATCTCCTCTTCTCCCTTCCCCCTACTTTCCCTTTTCCCAGTGTTTGTAAGGTTACCGAAGAAACTTGCATTTAAACAATTCAGGAAGAACTTAAGAATCCATCTGTCTGCCAAGGTATATTTTTCTATTTGCAGTAAATCTAAAACAGTAATTTTTAATTTAGTAAGAGTGTAGAACTGATTTGCATAAGACCAGATTTTTTGGTCTGACACATATTTTGGAAGAAGTGACTGGTTTTGTACTGATGTCACAAATCTTTAAAAATTGCTTCTATTCAAGGGAGAAAGGTTTTGTGTATTTTCTCTGACAGCTGAAGTGTATGAAACCATTCACTGTGCTTTGGGTGCACTGTAGAATTCTTCATGAAGAAGACTTTACAAAACAGCTAATTCAGTGTAGCGCTGGTGTTCATCCCTCTGATGTAGAGTTTGAATGGGTGAGGGAGAATTTGCCATAGAGAGGAAGTGTTTTAGAATTACCTCTTAGCTTTGGAATCCAGAACGTATGGCAGAAAAGCCTACGGTAGATGTTCGTAGTTAAAAGCAAGAGTGGTGTATAGTCTCTCTACTATGCAGTGTCTCCAAAAAAGCACCTTCTCCATGGCCACCTTCAGACTGGGACCGAGTTCTCAGTAGATTTTACTTCTTGGCCTGTGAAAAATAGGGTTCGGTTTTGCTACTTAAAAAACCACGGGTTTAGTTGCCAAACTTTTTATAAAGGGTGCAGTGGAAAAGACATAGGTGGGAGGATGCTCTGGTTGTTTCACAAAATAAAATGTAAATATTCTACTTAGAATAGTCTATATTTTTTAAGGGTTGGGGGGGAGGGGAACAAAACGGTGCAAAGGAAGGAATGCTGAAAACTTCAGTTTTACATTTTCAGAATGATTTCTTGTTTTCTAATGCAAAAGATCATTTGAGAAAAGATTATGCAACTTAGAATGCATAGTAGGCAACTATAATTTCTTACTGGAAACTTTTGGTAATACTCAAACTTTTTTTTTTTTATGGCAGTACAAGCTATATTGGAAAAAAAAAAATCTCATTTTCTAGTGTTAGAAATGTCTCAAAGCTGTAGTCTACATTAGTTTGCATAGTTTTATCTGATCCTTCTGTACTTCTAAATATTAGTGCTTTGGGTGAAATTCAGCGTCCAGAAGTCCTCAACCATGATGTGCTTCTGAACCATTTATGTTGAGATTCTCGTTTTCTTGGTGTAGAGTACCTGGTAACTCAGACCGTCGCCACTGCCTCGTCCCACAGACATCATGTCAAAGGAGTTATTCCTAGAGCTGGGCAAAAGGTTCATCATGGACTAACTTCAGCCTTTTTTCTGTTCCGAAATTATTTCCCACTTAGACTTTCTTCTTTGCAGATCTGTTTACTTTTTTTCTGTGAATGTTTTTATTGTTGGTTGTTTTGTATGTTCCTTGCTTCTGTTGTTTGCTTCCAGTGGCATGATTTGTCTGGTTTCTGCTCTCTGCTGGAATGGCTGAGTTTGTAACAGGAGGAGGAAGGATGGGATGCTCGTGGCTGTTGGCATCGGTCGCCTCAGAAGCGCATTGGCATCGGTATTTGCAAGGCTTCTGCTTCCCATAGATTTTTTCCTTCAGCTAACTTCTGCTCCTAGAAGCTTCAGAAGTAACTCGGTAGAGAGAGACCTCATGTGCTGCCCAAGCTGCCGTGGCTTTCGTTCAAAGGAATGCTCTCATCATTCCGAAGTATTCGCCTTGCTCCAGCTGTTGCCACGCTATGGTGTTGTATTACAATAAGTACATACAATTGGCACCACTGTAGCTACAACTTTGTTGTTGTTGTTGTTTCCAGTTTGTATAAATGCACAGACGTGACTAAAGCCTGCGGGGCCATGGGCTGAGGACTGCTATGTGTGACATGAAGAAAGGAAACGCACTGCTGCGTAGGACACAAGGTGTGGCTTGTCTGAAAGGAACCCTCAAGTGTACCTGAAGGGCCTGTGGTGCATGTTAGTTTCTCCTCAGCAGTTTTAGAGGAAAATATTTTTTTTACATTTTGGTAGTGGGATAAAAGATAATCCATGGGCCATATAGTTTAGAAAGGGGAAACTGGTTAAGAAAAATGAGACTCACTTTCAGGTACAAACAAGATACTATTGCTGCAGCCAAGACTATTTTCACAAATCCTAGGTATGGTCCCAGAAGAGATTTCAGGTCCTATGCACACAGAAATAAATCTAGACTTCTGTTTTTTCTCTGAAGTGTGATCGAGTTCTACTTCTTTTTTAAAGAAAAAAACTTCAATGATACCATCTCTGCAAGAAGTACCATTTTAAAGGTGTTGATCCTTAATTTTAGGCTAATAAGGGGCATTGGCAACTGGAAACTAGCAATAATTAGTACTAAGAATTTTGGACCGCTGACACTGTGGCTTCCTCCTTTGTTTGTTTTTTTTTTTTTTTTTATTTTCCAATGACGAGTCTGTGTCC